AGAGACGGGGCAAGGAGAAGTGAAGGCTGAAGGACTCTGATGTGTGCCTTTAAAAAATGTTGAATTGAGATGCTTGGAGGTATTTCTTAATAACAGTTGAATTTAAGAACTTCAAAAGACAATGATATATCTGACTCAGTTTGTAAAGGGATTAGTGGAATTAAGACTTGATGTTTATGTAAGCCGATTAGAAGATCTCCTCTCTTGGGTTTTTAGGTATTAGTGAGTATCTTTACTTTGTCCCTAGATGTAGTCCCTTATTCTATTTCTGTTGTAGTTTGTAGTGTTTATAAAAATGTAATATAAAAATCCCCTTCGGGGGGCTCAAAAAAAAAAAAGAAAACACTGATTTGGAAGCAATGTTTCTGGACATCAGCATGGCTTAAATAATATTTAAAATTCCATTTCCCAATATTACTATCAATATTATTTATGTATATAACACCATCCCTTCACAAAGTACAAGAAAACAGGCTCCTGCCCTAAGATTCTGTAACCTGAAACCAGATAATAAGACAAAAAATAAAGGGAGAAAAGGGAGTTGGGGTTAATCAGGAGAAATAATATGGATTCATCTCACTTTACCCCAAGATAATATATTTTTTAAAAAATATGACAGTGTTGAGACAAAAAGTGACCTCAGCCAGGGGATCCAGGTACTGGAAAATACTGCTCACTTCGGCAGCACATATACTAAATTGGAACTAAATTACTGGAAAATAGAGTGGTTTCTGGCAACTGTGGGATGGAGTGTTCAAAGGGAGTCTGAAGCTGTAAAACAGGATTGCACACAAGAACTTGGGAAGCTAACAGAGACTATACACAAGCATTAGGTAAAGGTAAAGGTTCCCTTGCTCAAAAGCCAGTCGAATCCGACTCTAGGGTTGCGGTACTCATCTCCGTTTCAAAGCCGAAGAGCCAGCGCTGTCCGAAGACGTTTCCGTGGTCATGTGGCCGGCATGACTAAACACCAAGGCGCACGGAACGCTGTTACCTTCCCACCGAAGTGGTACCTATTTATCTACTTGCAATTTCTTGCTTTCGAACTGCTAGGTTGGCAGGAGCTGGAACTAGAGATGGGAGCTCACTCCATCATGCGGCACACTCGGGTCTCGAACTGCTGAACTACCGACCTTCCACAGCCTGCAGTTCAGCGTCTTAACCACTTGAGCCACCGCAGCTCCTAACAAGCATTAGGTCAGCCTTAATGCCATCTTTCCCCAGTTAATTTACCACATCCCACATCCAAAGCGGCTTACATGATTCTCCTCTCCTTCATTTTATCCTCACCACATCCCTGTGAGGCAGGTTAGGCTGAGAGTGTGTGACAGGCCCAAAATCATCAGCAAGCTTTCATGGCAGAGTGGGGATCTGAACCTGGATCTCTTAGACCCCGGTCCAACACTCTAGCCTCTACATCACACACATTAAAGCCACCATCCGTGCAATCCTAAACAGAATTACACCCCTCTAAACTCAGTGACTTCAGTAATCTTAGGTGCAACTCAAGTACCCAAACAATGTGGATACATTCTCTGGAAGTGTACATCATTTAATTTATAAACATAACCCCAAAATAGAACATGCAAATCTTAAACAGGTGCTGAAACTACCATCGTTAGCAGACAATTAAGGTTAAGCCGCTCTAGAGAAAAGAATCAAGCCCATCAAATATACTTACATAGGGGGAGTGTTAGATTTAGATATTAGCTCATCCTTCAGCCTGATGAGCTCCCTGAGTTTTGGATATTCTTCAAACCTATCAGCTAAGCCTGAAAGCAAAATATGCTAATGTTATTCTGCAGAATGAAACTTTCATCAATAACTGGACTTGGGAAAAGAGACCTCATTTACTTGAAGGACACTCTAGCCAAAACTGGTCCTTTTCATTACAGATTGAATTGAAATGTGTTGCCACCCAATGCTCTACCCACTTCTTTAGAAGCCAGTAGTTAAAGAGCCCAAACATCTTCCAGAGCTGTAACATACACGTAAGCTTAAAATAAATCACAAAATGCACCTTTCCTAAATCCTTTAAGGAATTCCTATGTTATGTACTCACATTATTCTGCAAAGCACCAAAGTGTGATGATAGCGCTGTGTAAAATAAAACTTTCAAAATTAATGTTAAAGATTGGGGGGGGGGGATTAGCTTAGGGCATTCGTATGCATGTACACATAATTGCTTTTGGCATGATTGCATTATTTGGGTCTGCATATAACTGCTACACGTGTAGGTAACAGAATATCTGAAATCTAATTTTGGTAATGGTGCACCATTTTAAGGGGAATCCTAACATTTGAATCTAAAATGCTACCCAGAATGAACTACATGTTACATAATTTGATGGAAAACATTTTTTTATCGTTAGATATAGAAGACAGACAGCAATATTTATGACGCTTTTGCAAAGGCTGAATTAAGGCATGATAGATGTATTATAAACCAGACACAGTAATTACCTAACATTGTTCGATGAACCACTGCCATATATACTAAACTACTGGTGGATGCTAAAGTGACACAGCTTTCCTCTGGACAATAATCAAACCTGCAACCCCAACAAGGCAACATGAAGAGAGCTCAAATGATACATTTATGTTATGTTATTCTGACATACCCACATCTCTGATAAAGTTCTGAGGTCTGTGTCCGGTATCCACGAAGTGCTGACAGTAATCATTGTGAGGATTTAAACTTTGAGTCCCCTAGAGGAAAGGGAAATATCCAAGAATAAAGACTGGCATCATGAGACACAGATAAATCTTTCCTTCTCTCACATTCTTGAGTTTTTATTAACTTGGAGGTTCTTAACACCTTGGCTAGATAGTCTTCAAATCTCAACTGATATAAACTGTATACTGTTATAATATAGATACCATAATGCACAGACCATTCAATTGTCCCTTTTGCAACAAATGACAGTTAGCTTGTATATCTGAAATATTTCTATTGCCTATAATGAAACAAACAGCTACCTAGAACAGGATGAACAATAATGTTTAAGGACTTATATTTCCCAGGTTTCAGCTTTGCCATCTTTATGCATAATAAAACCAGTTGTATATAGAGAAGGAACAACCCTGCTAGATCAGGCCAGTGATCCATCAAGTCCAGCACACAGTGACCAACCAGTTCCTCTGGATGGCCAACAACAGGGCATAGAGGCTGAGGCCTTCCCCTGACGTTACCTCCTGGCACTGGTATTCAGGGTGTTACGCCAACTGCTTTATTTACAGCAGAGGCTAACTAAATTTAACGTGAGTCCTGGCCAGCTTTTATGGAGGTCGTGTCTGAACCCAAAGTTCCAGTAATGGAGACAAGACGGGTGTTTTTCCAAAACAAATTATCTTTTTACTGAGCAATATTAACGTCACATACACGCAAAATAATCAGTCTCACATCAGCATACACTCAAGTTTCCTTTAGAATTACAGAAAGATATCAAAAATAGTTTCTTATTTACTTGGGAGGTGGGTAGGTGTCTATTTCGGTTCATACTTGCCTGTTCCAGAAGCCTTGTCTGTTGCAAGGGAAAATTGGAGGGTAAGGAATAGTTCTAGGGGTAGTTACTAATTCACACTGCTAGAACTAGCCAGCTACTGTGGCTGCGCATCCCGAAGAGATCCAGTAAAGACAAAGAGTTTTAAAGCAGGAAGGGGGAGGGTAGTAGAATGTGGCCAGCCAAGAGACTTGAAGTTGATGGTAGAATGTGGCTAGCCCAGGACCTTTGCGTTTTATAGTTGAATCTCAAGGTGGGTGGCACCTTGCCAAACTGTAATCCCACCTACTTACAAGTCCATCCCATGACCTCCCTCATTGGTGCATATAGAAAGGGGCAGGTATTCTATGGGTTGGGCCAATATTTGAAATTCTACACTCTATCTCATGGAACACCATCTGGCTAGGTGTGAAGTCTCGGCTTCCTGTGCCCTCTTTGAAGTACAGATGAATCTTGGCTTTCCCAGGCATACAAGGTACCATCAACAGGAAACTGCAATTCAAATGCCGATCAGGTCCGTGTTCTGCGTGATAACCAGTCTCTTCAGTAATGGGGGAATTTCTTCTTCTTGGTTGTTGTCTCTGCTCACAATGGCTAACATGTGCTTCTTCTTCCCATGAGAACTTTGAGCTGAATGTGTGCAAGCTACATTAACATGAAATGCAGGCAAGTGTTGCCTATGTGAAAGCTCTCACAGTAGATGATGCAAACAGCTTCCTTTGGCCCATGGTATACAGGTGTGTGCACAGTCCATGTGTTGCGTGTGTAAGCAGATATAAAACCATAAATTAGTCCATTTCTCAACAAGAGGTCTACTGCCTCTGAATGTGGAGGTGTTCTTTAGTCACCATGGCTTGTAGCCACTGACAGATCTCCATGAAACTGTCTAACTCCCTGCTTACAACTTTATAGTTTGTCACTGATCCTGTGACTCAAGAGTAATTCAAAAACAAATATGATTAACAAGATATCAGTGAATAAGCTTTTGCTAATTAAAGAGAAATGTTTAGGACCTAAACTCTTATTTTCAGTTACTTTGTGTGCAAAAGCAACATAAGGTTGGAGAGTCTAATGACAACACCAAAGTAGAGGAATGAGTTACCTTAAGAAATGTGCTGGAATCCTTGTAAATTTCTTCTTCATAGGGCAGGTTCTCTTCCTCATGCTGCAGCTCTACTTCATCCTTTGGAATAAAGCATATTTTATACACATGTAGAGACAGGATGTTTCTCTTCTCATTATCATTCCGCTTCTTAATGAAGGAAGAAGAGGGCAGTCTATGATCATTAGCCTCCTGCAACAGCAGATCATGAGTGGTTCCTGTGCCGGTTTGCGAAAGGGGGGGGAACCCTGATGGTGCCAGAAAGCCCCCTCTCTATCATTACTGAATCATAATACCAAGTAAGCTACTTTAAATAGGGTACTTTGAAACAAGGATCACAAGTTTAAAAGAAAGGCTTTTTTAAATACATCCCATCGTGCACATTGCAACTTGGACCTTCTGGACTTTTGTTTTTAAAAAAGTGTTAGCTAAGGGAAACAACATTAGCAAAACTCATTAGGTTGGCATATTGTTATAGCTATGGTCTCTTCATGCTTAATAAAGGTTCTCCAAGTATGGGACAAGCCACTGAGGTGGGGGGGGTGTCACAAAATCCTTGCCGCACGGTTGCAGGGGACAACCTGAGTGCTGGGACCCTGGGAACATTCCACAGCAGGCAGAGTCAGAAAGCAAGCAGTTCATACTCTCAAGAGCTCGTATGCTCACCCTCATGCACCTGAACCCACCCCTTTCCTACAATAAAGTCTTGATATTCTTAGCCATGGGCAAGATGAGAGCATAAAAGCAAGACAGACTCCACTTAGAACCCGCCAAGCGGCAGCTGGAAAGAGCCATGTAATCTTTTAGATCAGCATCTAACGCAACAGGACAGGTATTTATCATCCCCTCCTTATCTTTGTTCTGCTTCATCTCAGGTCAACTGAGCCATCTGGGTTAGGGGAGGTTTCCACAAAGCAAGGGAATGTCACTATCCCCCAAATACATGGCAGGACGCTAGAAAGGAAAGGGATCGAAGGAAAGCAGTGTCCCAACATTACGACAGGAAATTCAGTTGGAGACTGTACTTACCAGGGCATACAAATCAAAAAGTCAAGCAGTCCTGCTTAACTAATTTAAAAGCTTGCTTTAAAATAGCGAACTATTACAACATGTTCATTTAGGCTGCCGTTTCCTGCACTTTTTAAAAGCTCTTCAACACTCTTTTTGAGACATGACAACCAGAACTGTACACGATATTCCAAATTTGGCTGTAACCATGTACTTTTATAATATTACTATATGGCAGTTTATCCCCAATTTCTTACAAAATGTATGAAATTTGACTTTTTAAAAAATTACTGCCCCACACAGTGAGTAGATATTTTCAGCAAGATATCCACCAAAACCACGTGGTTCTTTTTTAAAAACAAAACAAAACCTGTCACCACTGGTTTAGAATACATCAGCAGATATGTAAAATTAGGATTTTATATTCCAACATACTTCACTTTGTACCTACTTATGCTAAATTTCAGCAGTCACTTTGTTGCCCATTCACACAGTTTGGAAGGGTCCGTTTTGGAGCTCCATGCAATCCATTTGTTTTCATCATCCTAAACAACATCACTACCACACCAGTATCACCAATTCAAGATCATTTATTAATTAAATTGCACCTGTCCCAACACATCTCTCTGAGACCCTGTCTGATCAACTCCCTCCATAGTGTCAATTTATTGCCACTCTTTTGTTTAATCGTTTACTAAAGCATGAAAGGACAAGCCCTCTTATCTCAAGCTGGTTGCATTTACTCAAAAAACATGTCGCACAGAGCATTAAAATAGACTTGATTTGCCTCTGAAATTTGACTGCAATAGAGGCAACAGGCACAAGAGCAGCACGAGCAGAAACTGCTGCTTGTCCTCACAGTTTTTTAATACCTTGATTTAAACATTTCTTGTTTAAATCCATAAACTGCTTTCTGAACTTGGGAGACTTTAAAGACCAGATAAGAGAAGAAACCCTGGGAAAAACTCAGTGAAATGGCAGAAAGACAAACACATCTGGATCTAACATTTGCTTACTTCTCTAGTAACCATATCTGGCTCTCCTGAGCTTTTTAATGTCGCAGACCACATCTGAAAATGAATAAATTTACTTCCCAGTTACAAACGTAACATCATGCTTGGAGTACCCATAGATAATAAAAATGTCCAGTATTAGCCTCCTACAAGAAGACAAGCTCCTCTCACTAGAGACACTAGTCAAGGTTTCAGAAGCTATCAATGTAGTATGCAGCTACAGCATTAATATTATTTTTCCATACATACTGTTATAAAACCAGTTGAGTCTTGTTCCAAAGCCATTAAGGAAGAAAAAGGAAGGTACTTAAAGCCAATAAATTATAGACTGGGGACTATGGCTTTAATTATTAAAGCTGCCATTTATAAAGACATCTGAAAAGTCAGTCTTCTTATAACAATATACAGCAACAATAATGCAATGCATTTAGTGCATCATTAGAAAATTCGAAGCCACAAATGTCTATTGTACAAACAGGTATTTTACCCCCTTATATTCTTCTATTTCTTCTTCATCGGCTTCCCCCTCATCTGGAAATTTGCGTTTGGCATTTGGTGCAGAGGTATCATAAGCAGCCCTAGACATGGGAAAAGAACATTTCATAAGCATAATGATTGAAAAGGTGAGTTACCTAGTATTAACTTTAAGATTTGGCTTTAGTTCCCATGGAGTCAGTCACCTTCACTTTCATGATTCTTCTCTTTTTATTAATCTTTTCCTGAACTTAATAAAACTGACTGGAGAAGAACATATGCTCAAAAGACCCACATGTTGGAACATGTTTTCTCTTCTAATACCAATGCAGGGTCACCGTACAATTCTGAAGGAAATCAGACATTTTTAAGGGTGGACAGTTAGTCTTTTCTAGTAATTGAAATGTACTCATTTGTTTCTATATCTTTCAGCTACTGGGAATATCTATAGGTGGGAACTGCAGTTGAATCCTCTTCGCTAACCCACAGCATGACATTATATTTACACAGAATCCTTCTAGAGCCAGTGTGCTGTAGGGACTAGAGCAGGGGTGTCGAAATCATTTGTTATGAGGGCCGGATCTGGCATAAATGAGACCTTGCTGGGCCAGGCCATGTGTGTCATAAAATGTAATGCCAGGTAGCAGAGATATAAACTTTATAAAAGACACAAACACAAAGGTTTTTTTTACTTAAAATAAAAACATGCTTGAAACATTAGCACTCTTGCAATATTTTATTTAACAGTATCTGATAACTGACACCTCTTGTTCTGGATTATTGCATCAAAATGTCTGTGCTGCTGCAATTTTGAGTATGCTGTTCAAGTGTGTATCTTTAAGCTGCAAACCTACTTTTGATTTATTGACATTCACCACAGAAATCTCATGCTCCGAGTTCTGAGTCTAGGACCCACTTTAAAACATGAAATGGCTGAATAACTTGAACTTTTTCTATATTTGTGAATTGGCTATCTAGTACTTATAATTATCCAGGAAAGATGTATGCAAAACTCTAGGGATATTAAATGAATAGGATACCTCATGTTTTTACCATCCAAGAACTATAGATACTGATATAAGAGCTTGGGTAAATGGTAAAGTATGCAGAGGAAAAATGCTGGTTTGTAGTTTTTAAATTTTAAATGTAACACTTTTTAATGTTATATTTATATTGTATATGTACATGTATACATTTGATATTTTTGGAATTTATTAAAAAAATAAAAAACATGAAATGGCTGAGCGAGTGAGTCTGGCGAAGCAAGCTATGATGCAGCAGCAGCAGCAGAACTGGAAGGAGGAGATGGCCAGTTCTACTGCGGGCCTGATAGAAGCCCTCCAGGGGTCTGATCCGGCCCCCAGACAACATGTTTGACACCCCTGGATTAGAGTGTTGCACTAGGATCCTGGAGATCCAGATTCAAATCCCCACTTTGCCATGGAAGCTTGCCGGGTAATCTTGGGCCAGCCACACGCTGTTGGCCTCAACTACCACACAAGGCTGTTGTGAGAATTAAATGGAGAAGATAATGATGTAAGCTGTTCTGGGTCTGCACTGGGGAGAAAGGCAGGGTATAAATGAAGTTAAATAATAAATAAATATAAAGCTTTATGTTAACTTCTGCTCTATATCTTAATGGTCATATGCCCTGACCTGGATGGTCTAGGCTAGCCCTATCTTGTCTGATTTTGTAAGCTAAGCAGGGTCGGCCCTGGTTAGTATTTGGAAGGGAGACCACCAAAGAATACCAGGGTTGCCATGCAGAGGCAGGCAATGGCAAACCACCTCTGAATGTGACTTGCCTTGTTAACCCCACAGGGTTGCTTTAAGGTGGCTGTGACCTGACAGCAAAAAAAAAAAAGTTAATATCCTGTAGGACAATTCATTATGGTTTATTCTAAAATATGTATTTAAAATATTTCACTGCAAGGCATCCTGTACAGCCATGCAGATTGATTTGGGCATAAAAACAGTTGTAGTACAAAAGGGTGCTTTTGAAATGGTGGTTCAGGGCCAAAATGTCAGTCACCACTCTCTGACAGGTGGATCACAAGGGCAATTACTATGACAGAATTAACTACTGACACTAAATACATTTATCAATATCAGAAGCTGCTGTGGGCACACAACAGGTGGGAAACCAGGAGAGTACAGACTCCCTGATTGTTTAATAGATCATCATTCCAGCAGCGGCTGTTGAAGAATATTAATGTTAAATATTGTGAATTCAAACTTCCATTTCATAACGGTGTAGTCCTCGGTGGCGCTACCCCCTTCTAAGCCCAAAGACTTCAGTAGAGACAGGTGTAACTCTTTTTGGGGACTGCCCTGTAAATTGCTTGGAGAAATTTTTTTTAGTTTAAAAATGATTAATATATAAGAACAATAATAGAATTATAAGCAATTTACTAAAAACTATGCTGATGGAAATACTGTTTTATTTTTCAGTTCTTAGTTTCTATGCTTTTTTATGGCCATGAAAGAATCTTTTTTTTTTTTTTTTTTTGCCTGCTTCATACTATCAGGGAGCTTAAGCTTATTTAAATAGAACTGATAACAGTAGATGGATAAAGTCCTAATTGAGGGGTAGGTATAAAGCTGGCAGTAGCACTGGCCAAGTCTGGAGCCAGGGTGGACTCCCCCCAAGAAGGCCACTTCTGGTGGCAGCTAGAGTTAGAGTTGTTCACTTGAAAATAAATAAATAAGTAAAAACTTGTGTCTGATTACTTAAAAAATTTTTTTTAATAAATGAATGGAACTTTTTAAAAAGAAGATGGGCAAGAGAACTTTGTAGGCACCATGTGGCATTTACTGATGAAGGGAATTCATGTAAGCCAGCCATTTATTGCCTGTATGACTAAGGGGGACTGGGGAGAGTATTCCCTTGGTTTGCTTCTAGCAAACTGGTTTCTATACATTCCTTTAGAATTTCAGAGCTGAATTCTGCTTCTAAGAGGCAAAAGCCTTCAAAAGGCAGCAGCTAGCATTCTCTCCTTCCATCCCGTTAAATGCTTTTGGCATGAGAAGTGTTAACAGCCCTCCAGCAGTACAAACCTGCATGTTTCTCTTGTTTCAGCAATCTCCCTTTGCTCATCTTTGCTATTCAATACTGCACCGATGCTATCAGCGCTTTCTGCCCCCAACTGAAGGGAAAGCAAAATGAAAACAAGAAGATTATGCAGCCAGTTATACTTACTGTTAACACAAGTAGCAGAAGTAAAAGTGTAACAGTTCCAGCATTTACAATTACTTAAAGATTTCTATCTTCATAAAGCTTGAAGGGGATTTACACCCTCTTCCCACTTTATTTCATACCCCTGTATCTAAAGTGAATACCGCGGTTACAATTCCTACCAAAAGGTGGCTTTAATCAACACTTCCAGGAGTTCCACTGATCTCAGCCAAGAATCCCAAGTAATAACAGTCCCAACTTGCAGTCCCAAGTAACAACAATGCAGTCACCAAATTTACGTAACTCATTTCTAGTGCCCAAAGTGCTCCACATACATTATTTGGGACCTTGGCTGATAGCCAGAGTCCCAACCAGCCAAAGATTTTGCTTGTTTACTTGAATTATTTGTAATTGTATTTTTTGTGAGTTTGTGGTACCACATGTTTGCGGGGGGGGGGGGATTTCTATCATGGAAACAGAAGGGGGAGAAATGCTTACTCTGTTTCTACATTATAACTCCAATCCAAATTGCCCGGCATCCTCAGAGCTCCTTTTGAAGTTTCTGCTACACATTGGAAGATCCATTGGAAGACCAATAAGAAATTTGTCCAATAAGGCCGCTTAGCCAATAAACTGATAAGGTGACATTTCTTTTATGGAGCGAATGAAATATGCTAACATGCAGAATACAGCACTCAGTTTAGAAAATTAACTAACATCTATTCCATAAAGGGCGGGATAAAAATCAATAAAATCAATCAATAAATAAATACATGTTTAATCAGAAGAAAATTCCACTGAATCCAGCAGGACTTAATCCAAAGGAAATGCTGACAAGACCTCAGCCTACAACAGATTCACTTATTCACACAACCAGGAAGTTAAGAGCATAACTGTTTTCTCTCTTTTATTTCAAAATGCAGGAAATTGTAAGGGAGCAACTGTAATCATATACTCTATGGTTACATAAACTGTAGCATATATGTTAAGTTAGAGAAAAGTTCACAGGGATTTCATTTTCACATGCCTGTAAGTACCAATCCTCAAGAGCATTTTAAGCAAGATTTACATGGAGAAAATGTTCTTTAAAAAGATGAACAGAATTCAGTTTATAAATGCAGCCGCCAAATCTGTACCACTAGGATACACAAGGGATGAATTCACTGGGAAAACATTTTTCCTCTGTCAACCAGGGGAACTGCCATATTTTAATCTTGCCCTTTCTCTAAGTAGTCACAGGTAACTTCTATCTCCCTCACCCCACTATACTTGGAAGACAGGTTACCCTAATATTACACCTACTCAGGCGCAGACTCCAGCTCCGAATGCTCTTCACATTAAATATACGTATTTCTACACACACGAGCGAACTGGAGGAGGGGGGGTGTACCTATTATTTCCACTCTTTGTCGGTTGTTCTTCCATCCGCAGAGAGTTTTTAACATTATTCCAAAAGGTCACCCTCCACCTGCAGTGGCTCTGTCCATTTTTCCATCTAATTCTCCTACACGTGTGAACAAGGGCTAAACTGGAGGAAGACCCACAGCCCGCTACTCCTCCCTCATCTGCATGGCGACGAGACGGCACCACGGTACACCGCGTCCCCACTCTGCCCACAGGGGCCTGACGTCCCAAGAGGCCAGTGGGGAGGCAGCGCCTACCATCCCCCTCCCCACCCCAGGAGACGAGAACACGCACGCGCGTCACCGCCGCGTTCTAAAGGAGGGCCCTCCCTTAAAGAACAAGCCGGGCAGCCGAATAAACGCTACCTGCTGGGCCAGGAGCTGCCGGCGCAATTTCTGCCGCTCTCTGATCTCCTGCAAGCGGCTGTTCATCCTCCACGAACGAATTCTGGCGCTAAGGATGCGCCGTCTAGCCGGCGCCTTATTAAAGACGTCACTTCCGACTCCCTTCATGCCAGTACTGGCGGCTGAAAAAAATTGCCAGTACGTCCCAGCCAGTATACGGAACATAAAACAATGAAGAAAACCATACGACGATTCTCGTTCCCTACCTATTAGCGGCCATTGTTGTTGAGGTCAAGAGCAAAGCATATATACATAAAAAGCATGTTTGCTGCATGTTTATAGAAACGTGTAAGAAATAGCTGTCATGAATGAAACAACTTTGCCCAAACTATAGTTGTTAATAATTCTTCTCTAAAGAGAGCCAGTTTGGTGTAGTGGTTAAGTGCGCGGACTCTAATCTGGGAGAACCGGGTTTGATTCCCCACTCCTCCACTTGCACCTGGCTGGATGACTTTGGGCAAGCGGTAGTTCTGATGAGAGCTGTTCTTGAAAAAAGAGCAGTTTCTGTCAGAGCTCTCTCAGCCCCACCTACCTCACAGGGTGTCTGTTGTGGGGAGGGGAAGGGAAAGGAGTTTGTAAGCAACTCTGAGACACCTTTGGGTAGTGAAGGGTGGGGTATAAATCCAATCTCTTCTTTTCTTCTTCTAAATACACCCCACTCCCAATGATAGGCTATTTACATACCATTACTACTTGATTGGTTACTTCCAGAGTCCTGGTAGGCTATTGTTCTTGTGCTCCAGGCTCAGCCAATCTCTGGATTGACATACCTGGAATGATTCAGTCCCAATACATAGCAGGCATATATCAGTCTGGCTGAAAATCGGGCTGTTAATCTAATAAATTTATTTGACTGAGAATAAGCAAACCTAAAGCAATAACAAAATTTAAAACAAAAAAGGATACATTTACAATAGTACAGATACTCTGCACACAGTAATCATGCACATATAGACACAACTAGTGTTTGGTTAGTGTCATTTTCACGAAGTAAAAAACACAAGTGTTCATTAATGCTACAAATTAGTTCCTTTGCAGAACTGAAAAGGACTTGAGAGGTTTAGACTATGATATGACCAAATCAATGTTCATTATACTTTGTCCAGTGATCAGTGAACATGGTATCATATTGCCATACCATGCCTGCATTTTTGGCCTCTGCACCCTCCCTCCCCTCATCTTGGGTTCATGTCCAGCCTGTATTTGCCACAGCTCATATCCAGATCATTCCAGTTTGGTGTAATGGTTAGGAGCGCAGACTGTAATCTGGGAGAACTGGGTTTGATTCTCCACTCCTCCACATGCAACTCCTGCTGTGACCTTGGGTCAGTTACAAGTTCTTTCAGAGCTGCTCTCTCAGGGCAGTCCTCAAAAGAGCTCTCTCAGCCCCACCTACCTCACAGGGTAAGGGAAGGGGAAGGAGATCGTAAGCCGCTCTGAGACTCCTTTGGGTAGTGAAGGGCGGGGAGTTGGCCCTTAGCTAACATGGGGCCCACGGGGCCCAGCCTCCCAGTGTTTCTTCTGGGCCCCCTCCCTCCCGGATTGCCCCCAAGGTGCTCCAATTTACCACCTGCACTATGCTTTCATTTAATTAGCTGGCAGCCCCCCCACCCAGGCCCCCTCCCCCAAAATTCCCTAGCCACAGGGCTGGCAGAGTGTAAATCCAATCTCCTCCTCCTCCTTCCTCTTCCTCCTCACAGACTGGACTCAAAGGGTTTCTGTGGGAGATCTGTTGTCATCAGTGTGGGACTTATCCTGTGGAGTTCCCCTAAGGACAAATCATTCATAGCTTAGGGGTTGGATAGATAAAGGTGGGCAGCTGTGTTGGTCTGAAGCAAAAGAACAAAGTTAGAGTCCAGTGGCAGGGGCTGGATTTCATCAATATGCGGAATGATCCCCAGCTCTATATCCCCTTATCCAAATCCCTAGTAGAGGTCCTGAATAGTTGCCTGGCTGCTGTGGTAAATTGACTAAGAGGGAACAAATTGAAACTGAACCCTGAAAAGAAAAAGGTAATGCTGGATGGGAAGGCAGAAATCTTAATGGACATTGTACTCCCTACTTTTGATGGAGTTCAGCTGACCCTTGCTGACTCAGTTAAGAGCCTTGGGGTTATACTTGAACCAAAATTACTACTGGAGAATGCAGTTGTCAAAAAAAGCTTTCTTCCAACTCAGCCTTGCCCAAAACATGGACCCTTACCTTGATATGGCTAATTTGGACACCTGAATCTATGCCACAGTAACATTGAGACTAGACTACTGCAATGCATAGTGCATTGGTCTTCCTCTCAAAATCAGTTCCTAAACTCCAGCTGGTACAGAATGCCATGGTTTGGTTGTTATCGGGAGCTAGATGAAGAATGCTTGTTACTCCCCTCCTGTAAGCCCTTCACTAGCTGTCCATCAGTTATTGGGTTCAATTTAAGATATTAGCTATCACATACAAAGCTTGGATGCTCATACCTGCAAGACCACTTCTCCTTCATTCCACTATGACAGATTTGCTCATCAGAGCAGGGCCTTTTGCAGGCAAACTTTGTTGGTCTTAAAGGTGCCACTACTCAAACTTTGTTCTATGCAGAACTAAATTATTCAAGAGGGATTATCTATATAGGCAGTAGAATTGCATTGTATTAAATGATTCACAAAATTACTTGGGAAGATTATTAGGGACTGCGGTCTATACTGATGTGTATAGCTTGCTGAAATTAAGATCTTGCTATTAAATGGTGTATCATTTCATGTGTCATGTTAATACTACTTCTTTGCTTCAGTTCTGTTTTAGACTTCTGGTTGGATTTATAACCCTAATCCCATTGGTATTGTATTGTTTACTGAATGTCCCATCCATCAGTTGTGTTGGCTCACTCTGCATAATCTGCCCTGAGACCAAGTAAGAAAGGTGGACAATAAACAAACAAACAAATGATGCCATAGAGTGCACCCTCCAAAACAGCCATTTTCTCTAGGGGAACCGATCTCTGTAGTCTGGGAATCAGTTAGAATTCTGGGAGATCCCCAAGCCCTGCCTAGATGTTGGCACCCCTAGGAGATGTGTTGGCAGAAGAATAGGTAGAAGCAGAGAGAGTGCTGACCTGCTTACACTGTAGCTACAAACGCATGATGACAGCCCAGAAAATCATTCACTGGCAGTACGATAAACCCAGGGAGTAGATGACCCAGGCTGTAATCCTAATTTTAAAAATGTACTCAGGAGTAAGTCCCATTGATTGCAATGGGACCTACTTCTAAGTATACATGCTTACAATTGCACTGCCAATCTTCACACAGAGAGAGCTTTGTTCAAAGTATTTCAGATCAGTCAAAAAGCTCCTTTGTTGTGTCCTCCTGCCACGCTCCTTCGCCCTTCCAAAAGGACCCCAGTGACATCAGCCTTTAATTAATAACTTCTTATGTTTCATTTTACCATTTGCCTTTACTTAACTTCTGGTTATGTAATTAAGTATATCTCTAACATGCTTCTGCCCCAAGCATTCAACTCCTCCTTTTCTCATTTGGAAATGTTCCCACGTCAGGAATGCTTCTGGCAGACCTCCATCCAATCAGAAGGTTAATCTCTGACTTCACTGTTGTTCCCCTCCCCTTCTCAAGCCATGGGACATTAAGTGCTTTGTTCCCCATTATTTCCCTTCCCATTTCACAATAACCCCCGACCCTCCCCCATGTATGTTCAGCGTTCATATCTTGAGGTGTTCTCCTGTTGCATACCCTGAGCATCAACTCTAGTGACAGCTTGCAGAGTGGGTGACAGCTGCCACCAAGTGCTCTTGGAGATGGCACCCTTATAGGTGATGTGGTGGTGACATAGCTGCTGGGGTAACATGCAGAAGCATATCTACTGAGTGGCTAATAGAACCCAGTGAAGGAACAGATGATGACATCTACTAAGCACAAGCATATAACAATTTTTATGTATTTATTTTCCAATTTATACCCTGCCCTCCCCGCCAAGGCAGGCTCAGGGTGGTGCTTTTTTTTTTTTTTAGCTCTGAGGCTTGGCTACCCACAACAACAGACCTTTTGCAGTATTTGCCCTCCCACACACCATCTCCTGACCTTTTTATCCTCCAGTAAGGCAGAACAATACATTACTTGTTTCCCTGTAGTAAGGTGTCACAATTCTCACAGAAAAATTAAAAGATTGGCCACAGGGAATGGGTCAAGGTATGGGCTTCTAGTGAGCTGTATCCTCTCAACGTTTCTGCAGGCAAAAGATGGAGGAGGATAACCTTTGTCCTGCTTTGATCATGTGACCAGACCCAGAAGGCTATCCTGTATGGTGAGCTGCATATATTGCCACAGCACATTCTAGGGGTTTGCTTGCGATCAACAGCTCTCAAGTAGGAATATCCCCATTCTTTATTTCTCCATGTTACTGGAAGCCTTAAAAAGGAATTAAGATTCAACTATTCCTGAACTCAAAACACCTTTTGCTCACCCAAAATCATATAACCAGCCATAAAGAGACAGCCCCTCGCAAGCATTTAAATGCATATTCCCAATGCCAAAGTCTGTTTGTGATCATATAGATTTTTATTCTGTTCATTTCCTGTTTTCCCAAGCAGCAAGGGATTCACAGAGACAGTGCTGCTGGCATTAGTTCCTGTTGAATAAGAGAACACTGGAGGCTGATGCCATGTTTGAAATTGTGTTTTATTCATAAACATACAAGTATATCATGAATGGAAGCAAAGAGGCACGCTGCTAAATAGAAAGTCTGCTGCACCTTCTCAGATCCCCAGGAAGAGGCCCCAGACTCCAAGGTGCTTCACCTTCAGCCTACTTGCCACTCCTTCTATCTGTCTGTCTCTTTTTCTCCTTGTGTATTCCAAACTGTACACAATGTGTACAGTTCTTTTCTTCACATGCACAGATACACATGCCCTCTCCTTTCAGCTGTTTGCGTATGAATGTATGCAAGACAGACCATCTCCAAGTTCTGATGGGTACGTTCACACGCACACAGAAGAGCAGCCAGAGTGGTGCAGTGGTTAGATTGTCATACTAGTATCTGGGAG